CTAATGGATACATCTGGCCTCCATTTCTCTCCTTAGCCCATCCCATGTTCCCTGTTGCCATCCATGATAAAAGGCTTGGGTGCTGTGTCCATACATATCAAGGTTTCCATCACAACAGCAGAGAAATACTGCTGGCAAAACTGAGGGTTTTTTTTGTTGGTGTTTTTTTTCTTTCTCACTTGTATTTCCATGCTTGCTTTCTCTTCTATTGTCTCTTTCAGTTCTCCTATGGTTTTGACTTAGCTTGTCACTACAGCTCTACTGAAATACAAACTTGTCTGTTAAATCTGGCCTGTCACAAGCACTCCTTTTGGTGTTTTTTCTGTTCCTGGGTCCCATAGCTATCATTGTACTGGCCATATGTCAAATAAGGGTCAGAACCACAGACTTTGCTGGAATTACAAGGATGGGATGAGGGACTTGGAACTCCCAGCCCCTGTTTTGGACTTTGCTGCCTCGTGGCCTTTGAAGTTGAGTAACGTCCTTGAAGCTCCTGATCACAAGCGGGCAACTGCATTGTTTGGTGCAGCTTTGCTGGTGCCTGTTCCAATGATGCTGCAAAGGCAGATTCATTGAAAAGAATATGTTTGAAGCACCTCTAGCTCCAGTAACTGAACTTTAGCTGGAACTTTTTGGTTTCTTATTTTGAAAGGATGTTCCATTTAAAAAAACTATTCAATTCTTTTAAATTCACTACAGAGCTTAAATTAGAATAAGCACTGGTTTGGATTAAACTTTTTTGTTTAACCTCCAACTTTATTAGTTTTTCATGCTGCTTTGCTTGCTGAAATGTTTCTCTTTGATTTATCCCCTCCTCAAACTCAGTGAACCACTTTATCACAATGTGAGATAATGAGACTGAGCTTCAGTTTCCACATCACAAATTGACTTCCACACCATGAATCTGAACTCTCTCTTCACCCCCACAGAACTTCTCCCTAAACATACATATAGGCATAAGGCAGTGCATGTGAGAGGCTTATCATACCACTGTCTTAGAGATAAGCAGAAAGTTTCACTGAACAAAACTGTGCTAGCATTAACCACACAGTTCTCAGAGCCAGAGTATAGACATACTCTAATTAATCACAGTTATGCAAACTCATGCATTTGCATATAGCACTGTGAACAGAGTGATGGGGAATTTGGCAGATGCCTACTGGATGTGACTCAGCCAGGAAGGGAACCTCAGCACTTGCCCCAGGAAATCAAGCTGAGCGGTGAGACTTGAGGCTCTCCCAGCCAGGGGAACAGGGGAAGAAACAAAGGCTTGTTTAAAAGTGCAGTTCCTCTTCTCTAGAAAGTTACTGTATTTCCCTGTTTAGCAAAGAAGCTATATCCCTGCTTCATATCTGAGTTTTGCATGGCTCTTTAGTGATTCAATTGTAATGCTGTGCTCCTCCTTTGAACTAGCAAAGTCAAAGGCAGTTGCCAGCTGGGCAGCACTCAAAACTCATAACTCTAGCACCTTGATTTGACAATACTAAAGCTAATGTCTCAGCCAAATTGCTAATAGTAATGTTATTTACCTTCCTGAGCCCTAATCAGCTATCAGGAAAACTCACTTTATTTTTTTCATCCTGGAAGAGGATACAGAGGTATCCTCCTCACTCTCATGGGTGCTGCAATTACTTACCAGTTTCTTTTTCCCAAAGGACGCAAAGATTCTCCCCTGACTCTTAAATTCAAAAGCAGGTGTTGTGCCAGTCTAGCACTGAATGTTTGCAGTGTGATTGAGAGGTGCCTGTACCTGTCAAAGGAGAATAGCTAACAACATGTTAAAAAAAGACATAGGACAAAAAAGTGCTAAAAGCTCTGATTTTCATAATCAGATTGCAATAAGCCCAGGAAATGCGTAGGCTGAAAACAGTGAGTTGATACAAAAATTAAAAAAAGAAAAAAAAAATGCAATCTTAACTGAATGTGTGAATGAGAGTGAGCACTTTTAAGCACTATGATGGTAGAATACAACGAACAGGGAGAATCTTTCAATCCGTCTTTCCTGAATGATTGATGTTATAATAAGGGATGCTGAAGGAACAAAAGAAGAGAAAAATATAAGGCTGCATTCTTGGCTAGTGAAAGTGAAAGCATTCACATTGATTTCTATGGAACCACTGCTGTTTATCCCACTGCAAGATGAATACCTGAGAGAGGTGAGATAATGTGCCAGAATGGTGCAGATAAAAGCACATAAGAGAAATGGAAACTTATCACAGGCACCATGTTCCAAGTAAACACAGCTGATAACCTCAGAAAGCCTTGAAGAAGTTGTTCTTTCAGTTTTACTTATGCTTTATAAATGACAATGAATACATACACTTCTCTGCTATGAATGCCTCTCCAGCAGTGACATGTCATTAATCCTTACAGGATTCATTTATTAGCTCTCATCTCAGGTTTTTTTAAGTGCAATAAAAAGTTTTGCCCGTGCTTTCACACACAATTATACCAAGGTATAGCTATGTCCTGATTACCTTTTAGTACAAGAGGGACAATGCATACAGCCTTCCTTGGAGGGCACGATTTGATTTTTACTGTTGAGCACAAGAGGCACCAAATACAGTGACTGTGAGATAACCTCCCAGCGTACACTGCAAAACTGCCACACAACCGCACAGAGCATTGTGATTAGGACTGTGGGACCTAGTGTGTTACTGGTACTTTTATCTGCATCTGCATGCTTCAGCTGACTATTCTAATTCTTTTTTCAGCACACAAAGTTTTTATAGTATGTCTATGAGAAACATAAATCTGAAACAATGAACCTCTGTAAGACTGAGAAGCAGAAAGCAATTGAAAAAAAATTGAGTTGCCCTCATTTAGGCTTTTCTTATACGGAGAGGACTTGGAGGATTTATTATTTATCTTAGCAGCATGTAAACTTAAGTCGTTCAAGTCTTTAATATTTTAAAATTTACTATAACTTTATAATATGCTTATTTATGATGAAAAATACAAAAGCAGATGAAAACAGATTTTGAAAGTTCTCCAGGCCTTACTGTTCTTATTCTCATGTAACAATACTGCTGACAAACAGCTGAGAGAGAGGCAGTCCTCCTTTAAGACTGCCTCCCTACCCCTTCTAGTAAAGGCCAAAAGCTCCATAGCCCTCTCAGCAGCTCTAGCAGAACTTGGGGATATTTGGGCAATCCAACCAAGTGTCAAGGAAAATAATGGTATTCTCAGCATGCAGAAACATCCCTCTTCCATCTTCTCCCGTTTTAACAAACAGCAATAGCTTTACTGGTAACTTGACCAAATCTGCACAAAAGTCTGGTCTAATCTAGTTCACCTGGTATACAGGGTGATAACAATCCCCTCCCCTCCCCCACCAGAAAAAATTCCCACAGATTTCACCAAGGCCAGGATTTTATTCCTGCTTTTACTTGGCATAAGATCTTCAGTATCACCTTTTAGAAAATAATTTCTGTAGTTAGTTTTTTAGCAACACCTGAACTGCTTGTTTGTTTGCTTGTTTGTTTAGGGGAATGTGAAAAAAGGCTGGACTAGAAGGGTCTGCTACAAACTAAAATGGATAAAGCTTATTGGTATTAACCTCCAGCATGCTACATGAATATTCTATTCTAGCTATCCTACGATTCTACGGTTCTGTGAATATGTGTTTAAAAGATCTTGAAAATTTATGCTTATACATCAGACATACTTCTTAAAACCACAGGTGTTCTGCTCTGCTTTACACATAAGCACATCTACGATTAAAGAGCAAGACAATTAGAACACAGCTGATGTTTAATCTCAGAAACAGTGGTAAATTAAGGGAAAACACAGTCTCATTAATAGTTGTTCTTTTGTGATTAAGTATTAGTTATCTGCTATGTTTGACATTCTGTAGACCTATTTATTTGATTAATTTAATTGTCATCCTAATTAATTTAATTATTTTGTAGCAAGGGTTGAGAGGCTGCGTATTCATGGCTCTCTACACGGAACTGCACTGATTACCAGCGCCACGGTTTGCTGAACGGGTAAAAAGCCGCCGACAGGTCCCCGGTACCCTTTTCACTTGTCCGGGCCTGACTGCTGTGCCCTCTGTTAGTTTGTGTCTGGGCGCCGTTGTTCACGTAGGGGATGGGATTATTCACGGTGGTTTTAATTAAGCATGGAGATCAGGTTTTGCAGCAGAGAGCTCTCAGTCCTTGGACTTCTGAAGTGGTGAGTGCACATAAACAACTCTTCGATTTGTGAAGAGAAAAATAAGGTGTGTGTGTGAATGTAAAAGGGGGCTGGTTTCTCCAGAAGCACGGGGAAAACTGGGGGGCGGAGGGAGCAGGGAAAGGGGATTTGGAGATTGCTTTAGTTGTCACCCCACGAAACAGACACATCTTCACAAAGCAACTTTCGACTAACCAGGAGACGGCAGGGTGGGCTCTCCGTCCTGCGGGGCGACACCTCCCGCCTGCCACCCTCTTCCCACGCACACGCCACTCCGCGGCCGCGCAGGGAGCGACCATGGCCCCCAGCCCTCCCGCCGAGCACTGTAGGCTCCCGGCGCTCGGGGAGGTGTGTGGGGGAGCCGCGCTGTAGGGGGTCACTCGGGAAGGCAAGAGCCTTCCGGAACCGCCGTGCGGCTCACTGCCGCTGCCGAACGGCAACCCGCGGAGCGCACCGCGCCTGTGAGAGCGCTCCACCGTCGGGAGAGACGGTGCAGCCCCGGCGCCTGCGCCCCATCGCGCTCCTGCGGAGGGGGCGGGGGACTGAGCGAGGGGCGGCCGGGACGCGGCCCCATTTGAGCCCCCCCGCTAGCCCTTCCGCAGCGGGCGGCGGCTACAGCGCGGGCGCTCACGTTAGCGGGGGGCGCGCTGTGGGCCGAGGAGTGTCCGTCTCCCGCGGTGCCCTCGGCCCCGCGCTAGGACCGCCGGTCGCGGAAACCGCCCCGAAAAAGAAGGAGAACTTGCTCGTCTCCGCCTGCCTCCACACAGCCCGCACATCCTCTCCCGCGGCGCATCCGCCCGCCCTCTGGGTCCTGCTTCCCCCAGGGGGCCGGCCCAGCTGGAAGATTTCCCTGCTCGTTTCCCTTGGAGGGGTTTTGCCGGTAGCGGTGTACCGAGGGAAGGCTCCGTCCCTAAGGCACCCTGCCTCACCCTGCGGGGGAAGGGAGTTGTTGGGTGGGGGCAAGTCAGGAAGGGAGGATCTCAGTGGCTCTCCTAAAATCTATTAGCAGACTGCGAGGAGGGAAGAGTTTGGCACTTCGCAGGCGAGGCTGGACTTGTTTTCCCCAGCGGTGATGCCACTGCACTGAGAGCTTCGCGGCCGTGCAAGTTGGGGGGTCGGAGCCCCCTCCCCCTCCTCCTTCACGGCCCCACAGACCTGGTCCAGTGCCTTCAGCCCGGTGGCTCGTCGTTGCCGCCCGCTATATGAGAGCTAGTCCGAGGACAGGGAGATTCAGTGCCTGCTAGGGCTGTTTTTCTCCGCCCCCGCTCCCCCCCCCCGGACTTTCCCACCACCGACGACGAGCGGCGAGCACCCGGGAGAGTTGTGTTGGCAGGCTCCGTGCTATGGCGAGGCTGCGGAGAAGCAAACTAGCCGCTGGATTTCTATTACTTTTCCAGTGCTTGAGCGAGCGCTGCCAGCTCGCCGGCGGGGAGGCGCCGAGGCAGAGCCGCGGTAAGTGAGGCTGGTACCTGCCGGGCGGGGCCGGCCCGGGTCAGCGCGGACAGCCGAACCAGGGGAGGGCCGGGGTGCGGGTCGGAGGTCGAGTCACTTTTCGGTAGCACCGGCGTGGTGTGGGCTCCGGCGGCAGCTCCCACCCGGGGAGGGCAAACGGCGTTTGGGGCCTGGCTCCCCTTGCGCCCGGGAGAGGCCCGGGATGACCGCGGTCCCTTCTTCTCCGGAAAGAGTACTCCGTTACTTTGTTTTTTGTTTTAATGAGAATTTGGGACTTTCCTCTTCTAATAACTGCCCACCATCACCGGGAGCCGGTGCCGTCCTCCTTCGCAGCGTCCCCGGAGCCTCCTTCCCAGCCACGTACGAGGCTGCTCCCGAAGGCGAGGGTCTCCCCTCAAGAGCCGGGAAGGGAGGGGCGGGAGCACCGGCTCACCCTGGAGCCTGAGGCAGCCCCGGCAGCCTCCCCCCGCCCGCCCGCGGAGGGGTCCCGCTGCGCTCCCAGCATCGAGCCGTGGAAGGGGAGGCGAAGTTTCCCTGCAGATCTTGCTTGGGAGAGCTAGCGGGCACTCTCCTCCCCCGCGGAAGTCAGTCGCTTGCAGTCTTCCCTGGAAACCAGGCTTGGAGAGAAGGAGAAAGAATGGCAGAAGCCCCACGGGGCCGTAGTACCTGTTTGTAGAGCGAGAGGCTCGCTCTGTGGACTGAGTTTGTGATAGTATGAGGATCCTGTCTGAGACACCTGTTATTAGTGCACGGCAACCGGCACCTGTAGTGCTTTCTCTCGGGCCACTGTTTCCCACAACGTGGGGTTCCCTTTTGATCACTAAAGCCTTCTGTGTCCCGCATTCTTGTGCTGTGGAGGGGAAAGCTGCTAAAGGAAAGCTTAGCTAGTTTGCGGATGAGTATTTAAGGAACAAGTGAGGAAAGTCGTGGGTTTTGTGTCAGGGGACCTTGCTGCTGCAGGGGCTCTAGCTTATAGAATCTTTCAAAAGCGATGCTTTTATGTTCGAAATACCAGCCAGATTACTATCAGATGAAACAAGTCCACTGGCTTTCCTGGTGCAACAGAGCTGCCCCTTCTTCCTTTATTAAAGGTTGGATACAATTGTGAAGAGTCTTGTGGTCACAGCGTAACTGACCCGAACAAGAGGGACCTGGGGAGTTTTTTGAAATGTCCAGTGAGATGATGTGCCAGACGGAGCTGGGATTTTCCTGGGCAGGGGCCTACTGCTGAGTTTGGGAATTACTAAATGACAAGGTAGCTCAGCAGGTTGCTGGGGCTCACATGTCACTTGGGGCCAAAGGGGAAAAAACAGGAGGAGACTTCACATGTACTGCTTCATGTTGCCGCTTTCAGGGATGTAGGTAAGAAATGTTAGTGTTTGTTAGTTATAAGGAAAAATAAGGCATGGTGGTGAGATTAGAAAATGAAATTTACTTGTTTGTATGGCCATGGACTGAGCTGACAAAGTTTATTAATCTTCCAGCCATTGTTAGTGCTGACTAAATTAAATGTGATTTGTCAGTGGGCAAATAATCTCTGCATGCCACTGATTTAGGCTGTGAAGTTGCAGTAGTCATCAGTGTCTGCACCAGGAGGTGCTAAACAGAAGATGAGACCGACAGTTTGCTTATCTGTAAATCATTTATTAATGTCTTGCTCCTCCCTGAGTGTGATGTGAAGTATCAAGGAGTTTATAAGCAGGCAAATATTATTTTGATATCTAATGCATTCTGAAGAATATATACTAAATGATTCTTCAAGTAGTAAGATGGACAACGTGATGTCAAGTTTTGACAGCTAGCTGTTTATAACTTTCCTTCCCTCTTGGTTCAAAAGTCTGTATTATGACAGCAATAATTAAATGTCATTAACATAATCAGAGTTGTATTTAACAGGTTTTTGTAATTCTTTTTTTTTTTTTAATCCTCTTCTTTGGAAAGAATGCAGTGAGGAACTGTGATCAGTAAGAAGAGGATAATTATGTAAATTCAACTTCGGGTCCTGTGAGTCAAGATAAAAAGTGCTGTTTCAAAGTTTTACTGTATTTAACATTGCTGCATACCTTTTGATCAGCTCAGAACCTTTGAAGAATTAAAGTGAAAAAAAAATCTTTGAAGTTGCTGCAGATTCTTAAAGGGAGGCTGTTCTGACATATTCTTCGAATACTCAGTTACAAAACGTCTGATTGAAACTGAATGAAGTAATAGTATCAAGAAATGGAAACGTTTAGTATGCCTGGGCAGAGCCGGAGCCAGGAGAGAATTTCTGAGGATGCTACCAAAGGGAGATGCCCTGATTCCAGCAGAGATGGGAAAAACCATTGCAAGCACGGTTTTTCGCCAGCTCCTCACAGTTACGCTGCCGGGTGCAGCCATGTGGGATCAGTTGCAGCCAGATCACGTCCGAGGCGTGCGGGAGCCTGCCTGGCTGCCCCTGGGTGTTGGTAAACCCCACGTTTGGGTGCCCGAGGTGCGAGCCAGGCGGCGGCGGCGCTGCTGTTCCCGGCTGAGGGCCCCGCGCCCCCTCGCCGGGCGGCTCTTCCCGGGAGGGCGCCTTCCGCCCTCCGCCGCGCCGCTCTCAGTGTCCGCGCTGCTGCTAAAAATGCTTTAAATCGAGGTTGAAGGTTCTTAAACCATGAGGATTATGAATGCGTGTTTTGCACTAACCCATGTATGACGTGATTTGATTGGACTGAAGCACATGGTCTTCTGAAAGCTCACGCAATTAAGGCTCCCAGTTGTTTTAAGTGAGGGCTGGCTGTTGAAGTGTTTCCAAAAGAAGACTTGGAAATGTTACATTCTTTTGCAAACGCCATCAGTCAGAATTAGGAGGCCGTTATTTCAAGTTTTCTCGTGTCAAAGCAGAATCCTGGTATAATTTCTGTTCACTGGACTGCTGCTGTCTCCAGGCATCAGTCTTCAAAGAGGGGTAGAATTATTTTTGTGAGATAAATTACTATTAGGGAGGGTTTATCTAGCATTTATCTACTGCTGAAATAGTTGCATTTTCTGTTTTGCCTGACCTTTACTCTGTTCAAATAAATTAAAAAAAAAAAAAAAAGCCCCACAGCCAAGTCCAGACTTTTGCTGTTACACAATAGGACCTTTAGCTGTTATCTTAGAAGTACCTAATGAAACACAATATTAGACAACATGTATGAAAGTTAATTTTTATCCTTGGCATTCAAAATGACTGGTTTTTTTTTTCCTGTACATGATATATGCCAAATAGAGACAAGTAGGTTTGAGAATCCCAGAGACATTTGAGAGTAAATCCTATTTATACATATCATATATATTCACTAATAGTTTGTTTTAGCATCATATTTTTTAAGTTTCATTCATCCTGGCTCTTCCGTTTATTGTTTGTGGGGTTTTGTCATTGTCATTCCCTGTGAAAGAGTGGTTTGAGATACTGCTAATAAATAGTGGGTAAATTGACCATGATGAGGTTGACTTAGATATTCAGTGTCATAGAAAGTTATCTCCACAAATTTAGAGTATGATCAATACTCACAGTTTACTGAAGGCTTTAAAATCTGTTGGTTAAGACTGTTTTTGTTTGGCTGTAAATATCCCTCTCTAGAGTTTACATCCTCATGCAGCAATGTCTTAAAACCCAGCAAACACTTGATTCAAATGCTAGGTTTCGTTTGACACTTGGAGTTGATGATAAATGTCGGGGAAGCTAGTTCTCTATACTGTAAACAAATGTAGAAAATGAGGAAAAGGTCTTTACGGTTTGAAAGGTTCTTTTGTTCTGGACAACAATTTAGTAGCAACACATAAAGGCCATTTAGAGCAAAATGCTGGGGCAACATCTAGTGCCTTGCTGAATGCCAGATTCCTCTAAATAAATCTTGTAGTTCAAGAGGTTTGTGTCTTTCTGAGGAAGAGTTTCCTGAGAACATGAAGGAGCTAGATGAGGAAAATCATAATGCCAAGTGTTAAGAGAGACCCACTGAGGAAAATAGTTGCAGACCTATGGTGAGTTAGCATTTTCATTAAGGACTTTTTGGCACTTTTTTGGTGGAGCACTGCTGCAGGTCCCTGTGTCTTCACATATCTCAGGAGATGGAGGTTTGGACCTGAAGCTTGTGTTTCCTGCAGGACTATTTTGCACCAGTGCCCAGAAAATTGCTTTGCTTGGAATTGCACTAGACAGCTATTGCACAAGAAACATGCTCAGTTCAGTCCTACTGTTTTTTTTTCCACAAAGCATCATTTGACTTTGGTTTTGATAAAAGTTACTGTGGTGTCATTGGACTGTCTGAAGTACTGAGCAGTTTTGCCTTTCAAGTGCTGGCAAAAAGAAAGCTCTGTAGCAGTTCAAAATTTACTGAGACCACAGTCTCTGAGAACACAGATGGGGTAACAGGTATGTTCCCAGTGTGGTTCATGCTTCCTAAGGAAAGTGAATGCCAATAGAATTTAAGAAGGCAGTAGTTAAGGTGTGTTCTGAGGGCCCTCTACAGAGTGAATGAAAGGTAATCTGACAGGAGCATTTCTCATCCAGCACAAGGAAATGTTGCAATCTTGCCAGCAGTGTGAAATTATATCCAACCATTAGGTTTGATGAGGGCTGAGCTAGGAGTGTTAATGCGGTGCAGTTGGCAGATGTCATATTTACTAAACTGGAGAATTGCATAATCGCAGCAGGAATTGAAACGACCCAGGAGATTACTTTCCATGGCGAAGTATGTAGAGAAGCCATGCATGTGAGTTTTGTTTTTGTCTGTGGCTTCTGACAAATGAGCATAACATATTGCCCTGAGCTAATGTTTGTGAGTGCTGGGTGCTGTGCCTCATCATGGAACACTTCCTCTGCTTCCTTCTCTTTTCTTTTGCCTCATCCAACTCATAAACATAGCCTCAATTAGCACTCCTTGCTGTCAACATTGAGCAATCAGTTGTGTTAAGTGTCCTCATAAATTCTCAGTTTGAAAGAGCTTGTGTAATATTTTCAGCTCCCTAGACCAAAAGGCAGCGTGTAGGAGTGT